GACTCCACTCTGTAAAATCAAAGTGGACTCATTTTAGGTTTCGAGTTCAGTTTCCGATTCTCGACACTCGCAGCGCTCGTGAATTTAGTAGTGTTGCGCATAAATGAGTGCGAATGAGAAATGATCATTTCTCTTACTCGCACTCAAACACTACTAAATTCATGAGCGCTGCGAGTGTCGAGAATCGGAAACTGAACTCGAAACCTAAAATGGTTCCATATTTTGTAGACTGGCGAGACTGAGTGGAGTCTCCTTATATCTTCCTTCATGTGCAAAAGTCTGTGCTCCCCGCTTAACCCGGTTCGGAATACACCCACTCCGGTCGTTCATAGTCACATAAATTTAGAGTTAACTCGTACCGTCTCGTACCTAACTCAACTCTACTCTAACTCTATTCGGAGAAAACTTTATGAACGCAGCCCAGAGTAGAGAGTCTGGACATTCGGGATTCCGCGTGATTGGTGCACGTGACTTGTGCCCTTACAATGGCAGCACCAATACAGAACCTTGCTCACTCAGCGCTAACGGGAGGAAAATTAGAATTGAAATATACATTCTATTCGCAATTTATAGTAGTACCACAAAAGTAATGACGTATATACACGTGTATTTCTCAAAAAATTGAGAAATATATTTTTCGTCAAAGGTTCAATGTATGTTGTACATATGATGCAATACACAATGTATGTAAAGCTTATTGCTTTTAATTGAACTACTATACATATGTAAAAGGACAGAAGTTTCATTATTAAAATAAAATACTCGATTTTTGGAAAATATAAATTTTTTATGCAAAATTTTTACATTATAATTAAATTATTATACATATGTTAGGTCTGTTCCTTATTGCTGAACTTTTGCACTAGTTTATCTTTCTTCCTTTTCTCTCCAAGAAAAGGGAAAAGGAAAAAAGATGAACTGATGCAAAAGTTCAGCAATAAAGAATAGACCTATAAATATATATTGATAATAATTTGAATTATCATATCATTGTATGCATTGCCATACTTTTGCTATTGTATACTTTATTCGGTAAAGGGGTTTTATTATTTTCTATTTGAAGTCGAAGTCGGATGAAAAGTATCATTATTTTATTTTTTATATTATGACAGTTTTTTAATGCGTCGCATGAAACACAACACATTTTTTCCTTTAAAAAAGTAGTTAAATCAGATTTATTTGCATCAAAATTAGTTTTAAGATATGGAACATATTGTTTAATAAAAAGAAATAGGATAAAAGAAATAGGATATAAAAAATGAAAAAGGATATTTTAAAAGGATATTAAAAAGGATATTTTAAATAAGATATTTTAAAAGAAATAGGATAACAATTAGTATTTTTCAAGACTTGTCAAAGGTACTTTTAGGAGGAAAAATAAATATATCACAATACCATCACGCGTGCAAAACGATGCAAGTCCACAATACGACTGTGTCGATGAGTCTAATTTTTGATCTGGTGCAATAGCCATTTCATCTAATGCAATCTCTTTCTCCAATGTCCTGAAATTGAGCGACCTTATTGTCTTCTAACAATTTAAAAATGGCTTTAGAAATCCCTTCTTCAAATTCGATATTTTCCAGTCTTCTTCGAAGTGTACGTTCGGTCGGCAGAGGTATTTTTTCTTTCAGTAACTGTTGATAACCCGTAGAACCGCAAGAAATCCTCAATCGGAGTGCTTTTCTTATGGTATTATTGGACCATTTACAGATGCGTAAAGATGGATGTATAAGAGCTTTTATTTGGTCATCAGTAAACGTTTGCTTAATTGCTGATTCTAATTTTGCATAATTTCGATTTTCAAAGTTGTTTCTAGTCATCCTCTTAATACGTTTCTTTAACATATTGTTAGATTGATAAATTTTCAAGAGAAGTTTGTTGGCTGAATCAATTTTTCTGTTGGCTTCTTCCAACTGTTTCTTTAAATATTGAACTTCATCAAATTTCTTGTTGTACATTTCTTTCTGAGTAGAAGTGGAGAGATCTACAAAATAAACAATATAAGCTGTGAAAGTAATTATAAATAATACTAATTAAGTAACATATGTACAATATTTATATATATGTATATTATGTATATACACCCGGGAAAAATGTTTTATATAAAATTATATAAAATTATATACAATTATATATAAAAAATGTGTTTATTTATATATAAGATTATAATTTTATATAATTTTATATATAATTTTATATAATATATAAAAAATTTTTTCCCAGGTATACATTTATATACATATATAATAGTATAAACGATATATTATAAGTAGGATTACAGTTAGAATTTGATAGCTCTGGAGATAAATTTAATGTTTGTGCATTTGATGTCGATGGAGAAACATCAGGAACATTTGATTTGAAACAATTGTGTTGTTCCTTATTAACATTTCCATTGTGAAATGTTTCCAACATTGCCTCAGGTTGCTTCTCTAAAGATTCATTACTTTCATCCTAAAAAAAAATTCATTATTTTCCGTTTGTTAAAAAAACAAATGTTGATTTTTGTTTCAATAATAAAATTTTAAGAGAAAGAAAATTTACATTTGTAGTTGTGCATGTGTAACTTCTTTTCAATTGAGGAAAAATTACTGGTATAGCGTTGCACTTTAATTTACGTTTTTTATCTATTCGAACTTTCTCCCACATTTCATGTGTAAAATGTATCTATAAGAATGAAATATCAAATTTAACATTTGATATAGACTCTCACATTCAAAATATAAGGAAAACACAAGGGTTAATGAAAGTACGCAGTTATCAATGTGCAAAAAATAATCTATCCTTCTTTAACTTAGGAAGAATATTTTCTTAATCTGCATTAAAGGATAAATTTTTATTTTTTGTGCTCTAATAATTGTGTTATCATATACTATCTTTAGATCTTGTTTTTCTTATATCTATAAAAATGTTAACATCATAAATAATTTTATTTTTATAATACAAAGGAAACAGATTTGATTTACCTCGCATATAAATGAATGAATTGTTGGTTCCCAATCTTTACCATTAATTTTCTGTACATTTAAAGTCCATGATTTTTTTCTTACTGGGTCACTTGGGAATCGAGCCATATAAATTTTTAATCCGTTTTTGACACGGTTAGAGCACCCAAATGTACAGCAACTTGGCATTTTTATCTATAAAGGTAATTATTTAATGCTGTTCTTTATATTTAAATATATTTATAATTTTTATAAATAAATATTACTCATTATTGTTTTTATTACTTAAACAAGGTTAGAAAACTTTCAAAACGTTGTAAATAATTATAGATAAAGACATCAAAAATATTACTTACTTAATTTTTATAGAAGTGTAGAGGAATATTATATATTGATAATGCTCATCACAAATTGATATATATTAATAAAGAAAATGTTACTTATATGACGCAGCAGCTAGCCAAACAAACACACACATACACACACATATTCGCCGCCGTTTTCGGTTTTAAAAGCCAGTTTTGCTGAATATCCAGACCCAGACCACAGTATATACAGTAGCGCAACTCTCTGTCGGCACCTTTGATGTTAGTGTTGCCTAAAATGGAGTGCGCATGCGCGAAATAGGCGAAGTACTAGACTGTGCTTTTTCTCTTTTCATCCTTCTTTCGCTCTGTCAAAACGCACTAGCACAGTATATGTAGTAACGATGCGCATGCGCGAAATAAATAGGTTGCCCTATCTCATTTTCTCCTTCTTTATTGCTCTCTCTTTATTCAATGTTCCCTTTAAACAATTCATTAATAAAAAATTTCCCTTTTTTAATATTTTAACATACAATATTTTTGTATTATTGTATAAGTATATATATAATATATAGTATGTCTTGGCATAATTATTATCAAAATTATTTCAGTATATGATATTATTTATTAATTTAAATTATCTTCTAAATATATTACATTTTTTATTTGTTGTATTTTATATTTATTTTTTTGCACACACATTATATATATAATATATAATATATATTATAAATTTTTTTTTATATCAACTTTCTGATAATATGTATATACATAGCATATATTTACAAATTTACAATTATATAATATTTCTCTACATAAATATATATTTTTCAGATAATTTAATATTTTTCTTAATTATTTTACATTTATTTCTTTATTTACCAATATATTTACAATTTATTTGTATTAATTTCCATTAAGTTTAGATTATTTTATATTGCATTAGTACATTTATTCGTGTCTCATTCTCCAACATGCTCCTACAATAGTTCTTACTCACTTCAATGCATTCATTGGAGTGTGACGCAAATAAATCTAGGTTAATCTAGTGCGTTTTGACAGAGCGAAAGAAGGATAAAAAGAGAAAGAGCACAGTCTAGTACTTCGCCTATTTCGCGCATGCGCACTCCATTTTAGGCAACATAAAATCGGGAGAGTTGCGCTACTGTATATACTGTGCCCAGACTCTCTATACTTCTAGGGATTCTACCGCGTCGCATTTTGCCGCACGGCAAGCGTTTCCGCGTCTAGTGTCCCGTAGAGATCCTATAATCATTGGCCCATCGACATATAGTACTGGACAAAGACATAGAGAATGGACTGCGCGATCCGTGTGTCAAATGGTCAACAAAAATGAGAGAGAGGGACCGTGGAAGACGGCCATCTCCCTCTCATTCTCTCTTCCATTACACCATGGAATGGAAAAAGATAGAGATGGCTGTCTTCCACGGACCCTCTCTCTCATTTTCGTCGACATATTTTGATACTACATATACTGGATTCGCACTGCATCCGATGTGCGTCGTACGACGACTCTACAACCAATCAGAAAAATCGTATCGTCGATGCGAGGCAAAATCCTGTTTTCCAATTGGTTGCAGATTCGTCGTACGACGAAAATTGGATGCAGTGTGAATCCAGCAATAGATACGGGATCGCGCAGTCCATTCTCTATGTCCTTTGGTACTGGACGGAGCTAGAGGCCTAGAAAACAGAGATGCGACATTGCGTCGGTTGGGTTAGGTAACCACCGCCATTTGAATTCAATATAAGTGCTCTTGACCAATAAGCTGATGACAGTTGATGCAAAAGGTAGAAAGATTAGATTAGGTTAGGTTAAGTCCGATATTAAATATTCACACAAATAAGAATACTTACACCATAATAATAGTTTTTTATTGCTCTTCGACACTGTATTGTCTAAATTTTTCTCTATATATATATGTATGTAACATACATACGTTATAAAACTATATCTATTAGATGCAATAGTGAATTAAAATGGCTCTCTGATCACGTGATTTAGACAGCCAATCAAGCCATACCCTTCAATGACGCATCTCTGTTTTCTAGGTCTCTAAACCGCACCAGATCCATCTTGATCCGTCAGGTCGGATGCGCGCGCATACGCCATTTTAAGATAGCGCGTGTATATACATACATATAGACCCCTGCGCCGTTTTATTTTTTATCGGCGGCGGCGTTTCAGGTAAAATAACTCGGCGGCGGCGGCGTTCGGCGAAAATTTCAAATTTGGCGGCGGCGGAACCGACGGATGATAATTTATCGGCGGCGGCGGCGTGGAACGGCGTAAGTATAACATGCTTTAAAATTTTAAATAAAAAGTTTAAACTTTAAATTATTTGAATAAGCAAATTATTATAGAGATATATTTTTAAAAAAGAGAAAAAATTAAATTATATAAAGTTAAAAAATTATATTTAAAAAATTATGATACTTATTAAGAAACATAAATATATAATTTGATTGTAACATCTGCGTTGAACTCGATCGGACGAACTTATAATGATGGTCCTGTCTCACATGCCTTTACAATACACTCACATTGAGAACAGGAATATCAATCCGAATTAGAATATATCAGCATGTCTGTAACGTTACATACGAATACATATCTGTTCAATGACGCAAACATCTGTTAAGAATCGCTGAAGGACCTGTAAGTCTCGAAACGTACGAAATTTCGACATTTTTGTTTGGTTAGTTTATTTAAGAAACTAAGCTTGCGAAATTGTCTTCTTCTTCTTCTTAATTAATGGCTCCTGCCTCCCTGTACTCTTACGAAATTGTCACCTAAGGTCTAACAAGAAAGATATTCCAATGATAATAAACAGCAAAACAGCAAGAGAATTGTGTATCAATCAAGTCACAGTATAAGTAAGTACAGTAGTTTCACTCCGTGTCGGTACCTTTGATCTGTGTCCTACAGTCAGCCATGTTGTTGGTTGTGCGAGGGCTTTGTTTTCACTGCACACATCGACACCACAGTGACACACAGTGACACAGTATCCATACGTGACATCGACACCATGATGAAAGTGGTGCGATTCGCGCACCCATAAATTTTGGAGAGTGAAACTACTGTACTTACCTATACTGTGATCAAGTATATGTTACAGTATGGGCGCGTTCAGCCGATTCAACAGTTGAGTGAGCGCCCGCTGTTATTGGTGTATTCTTCTAGATATAAAATTCTGATTAGATGATCTAAAAGAATGCACCAATAATAGCGAGCGTTCACTCAACTGTTGAGTCCGCTGAACGCGCTCTATGTATTGCGGTAGATGGCGTAGGAACTTGAGATAGAATAGAGATCCTATAATAAGAGTTTGGCCAAAGCGGGCTCAACTTCTGATTGGTTCTCTACCTTGGTCCATTCGGCATTCTTCGGATAGCTTTGTCATACATTGTCGGAAAACGAGTTCGGAGAATAGAAAGAGACACATAGCGTAATACGAGAAAGAAAGTAATATCTGTTATCTCCTTCTATCCGCCATCTTTGGTCCGCTTTGGCCAAACTCTTAAGGATCTCTAAGGCCGGTATTCATAGTCGGTTCTTATTTCAAGACTGTCTTAAGTAATGTCTTAAGATGCTAAAGCGGCCCTCTGATTGGTTCGTAACTCCTCAAGACTGAACTTACGACGGTCTTGAATATAAGAACTGACTATGAATACCGGCCTAAGATAGAACAGTAACAGGCGAAAGAGAGATAAATATAAGTTCTGTTCTTTTTCTCTCTTTAAGTTGAGCGCGCAGCATCGGCTGACATAAATTTTTAGCAAAATCACCAAAACTGTATATCGATCTCGATCAAGTTTGGCCGTCGCTTTGTCGATAAAATCGGCGCGCCGAATTAAATTTTCGGCGGCGGCAGCGGCGGCGTTCGGCGGACATTTTAAAATTGACGGCGGCGGAATCGGCGGATAATAATTTAGCGGCGGCGGCGGCGTGAAGCGGCGGCGCAGGGGTCTACATACATACGTATATACACTCGTACCGAGCGCGTAGCGCCGCGCGCCGAACGCCGAGGGACAGCATTTCTGCCGGTGCGTTTACACACACACAAATATACTCGTGACTCGTGTGCATATTTGGCGGTTTACCAGTTGCACGCGGCACACGAGTTGCGTATACTATGTTGTATTACACGCTCAGTGGCGGTGGCCCACCAGTGGCGGCGGCGGCGGCTCGGCGAGCGGCGGCAGAGAGGTCGCGCGTGTCAGCCAGTCGGCGGCGGTAGATTGCCGCGTCTGTCGCGAGATTGTGGTAGCAACTGGTAATAGAACTGGTGCAACGACGACGGTCGTGTGACAAGTGATCCCGATCGTGTGAGAGAAGTAAAGTGAAAAGGGAGCGGGTCGGGAGAGAAAGGTAAAGAGAGAGAGAGAGAACCGACGGCGGCGACGATGGAGCTCCACACGCCGAAGCGGGAGCAGCGGCCGTCGACGGAATCGCTCGATCGCAGCCCCTCGATGTGCGACACGACGCTCTATCCTTGGAACTGGGGTGAGGAGGCGCGCAATGTGAACCTAAGCCCAGGGAGCTCGTGCTCCTCGCCGGAGTACCGAGAGCAGCATGTCGCTAGCTTAGACGCAGCCGGCGGTAACGCGCCCGGCAGCGGTAGATCCGCCTGCACCGGCAGCGGCTCCGAGAGCCACCGGCGCGGCCGGCCGCGCGCCGACGCACTCACGAATCTCATGAAGCAGGGCAGTACGTCGCCAAGCAGCATCAAGTGTTCCTTCTGCAACCGGGTGTTCCCGCGCGAGAAGAGTCTGCAGGCGCACCTGCGCACTCACACGGGTAAAGGGATCTTTTCCTGCCCTGCGTCGCTGGTATCCGCGTGGCTTTCATTCAACCCTTTCGCGAGAGATAGAGAGAGAGAGAGAACGATCGCGCGCGCGAAGAACGATTCCGCGTGTCGCGTGCGTCTCCCTGCCCGCGTCAGTCCCGCCAATCGGCCATCATGCCGCGCTTTAAATACTTAAATGGCTCGGCTTGCGTGCCGGTAGCGCGACGCACCGACGCGACGCGACTGTAGCTCGGGCAGTTCGTCGGTTGCGCGCGAAATTTACCGCGTGCGGTGACACGTGTACGTATAACCGACGATGCACGCAAGTTACGTGGGAATTTCAATCGGGAGAGAGAGAGAGAGAGAGGGTGGGAGGGAGGGAGATTAAAAGGGGAGATCGTGATGTTTGTACACGCATACTATCGAATACTATCGCTGTCGGTTCGTAAACGGCACCAAGTTGAGCGGTCTTTGTGTATAGATGACGAGAAAGCACGTGGCAACGCGACGCTTTCAAAAATATTACGAACGTTCCTTACTGTTTGTGTTCTTTCTTTCACGGTAGGATTGATTGAACTCGGAAAACTAAATGTCAGATTTAAATGCCGGATGCTTAGTAAAATTTCGTAGGCCGGAATCAGACTACGCATTGAAGATTGAGATTGAAGATTGAATTTTGGCTAATCAAAATAATTAGGAGTTAAAATTTCTTTATCCTCATTGGTTAAATTTCAATTTTTTTAATCTTCAATCTCAATTTTCAATGTGTAGTCTAATTTCGGCCTTACGCTTGTTTCTGCCATTGTAATTTAATTGTTTAATGTTTAATCCTTTGTGGTTGTTTTTTATTATACCTCCTAATGTAGATTAACTTTAATCTCGGTTCAATTTGCTCTTCGTCTTTTTCTAATTCTAAAAAGTGATTTCAAAAAGAATATTTTGAAGAATAAAGGAAACAGTTTTTTCAAGTAACAAAGTGTTATCGTAGAAAAAAGTATTTATTTAGTATAAGAACATGATTTTTTTGGAGATACAATTATACGAAACTATGAAATCTTTCTGGTGTTCCGTGGACCCCTGATCGCAAAGGATTAATTTTTATTTTTATTTCAATGGACTCTTTATTTCTTTTTAATTATAAAAATTAGAAAAAATTGATGAGTAAATTGAATCGAGATTAAAATTAATCTATATTAGTAGAAACGGATATTACTACATTGTAAAGATTGAGCTACGCATTAATTGTATTCAGATTCTTAAAAGATTCATGTTTGGTATTGTGTAATTTATAGTTCGTTTGGAGAGAAAATTAAAATTTAACGTCCATAAAATATGTATATGTACAAATCAGACTATGTGTATATTGTGAATTTATTTGTGTAATAATTAATTTTATGAAATTGTAATAAAATACTTATGTTATGATCACAGGAGAACGTCCATATCCGTGTGATTATCCTGGATGCACGAAGGCGTTCACCCAGTCGGGACAACTCAAGACTCATCAACGATTGCACACAGGAGAGAAGCCATTTTTATGCACCGTACCAGGTTGTGAAACGAGATTCACTCATGCCAATAGGCATTGTCCCGATCATCCTTATGCCAATCTTACAAGATCAGATGACTTTGTACTAAAGCCAGTATCTGAAAATACGGAATTGTCGTATGATGTGAGTCGATGGTTGGAGCGTTACAAGATGTCCAGAGAACGAGAAGATCGTACCCCGACTGGGAAGAATGAACGGAAGAAGAAAACGTGGAAGAGCACTGCCGAAAATCACAAGAGGATAAAATCCAGAAAAGGCCTTATGATGGATATAGCGGGAGAACAGGAAAATCTCGATCACAATCCCTCGAATCAACGACTGCACTGCGAGGAGAATCAGGATAGTCAAGAGGAGAGCCAGGATGAAGATCCAGCGGAAACATGTTGCGCGATACTGCAAACATCTGAGGACGAGGAAGGATCAAATACCAAGTTAGCAATCACCTCACTAAGAAGACCCTTGGACAGACTGCAACCAAAGAAACGATGGCTACGGTATGCTTGCTTGGAGCAACAGCTAGACCTAAGTGAGGATGTTAAACCTAGTAACGTAACGACCGTATGTAAGATGGATGAGAAACAAATTCTGGACAGACCATCGGAATTTCACTGGTATACGGCATTCTTGGACCATTCTGTTCCCGAAAATAATACATCCGCTCTGGACAATAAACTTGAAATTCCAAATACACAATTGGAGCCTTCGTATGCCACCTCTCAAATATGTTGCATGATAAATAACATTGCCGAGCCTCCGAAAGTAGACGAAGACAATGTATATGGGATTATGCATTCTCTTAATCAGCCACAGTGGGATCCACTGAATAGCTTGCCAAATAATCAGGGTACTTTTGAAACTAGTATTAACGAATCAGCTGTAAAAATTCAAAATCAAAGTTCTGAATCTGCATGTTTACATTTCGATTACACGGAGCAGATTGTTCATTCGGAGACAACGAATCAAGATGTACTAGCCAGCTCCCGTACCAGCGAAAACGAAACTAGACCGACGGTTCTAATGTTGGCCGGTAGTTCCAATAGTGCTAAAGAGATTCTTTCAAAACCGTCCCTCGCAATAGATCCCGTGAAAACGGAGACAAAAATAATTAGTGTAAAGCAGGAGGACAATACAAGCCTAGCTAAGTTACCAGTACAGGAAGACAATAAAAAATGGCAAGGTGCTTTGGCATTGATGGAATTGGCTAAAACGCAAGAAGAGGCGCAGGTTTTAGCGCGTCTTAAACATGTAAAGGATGAATGTTCCACGGCTTCAGAATTATTATAGCCATTTAGACTGTGATTACAGGTTATTGTAACTTTGTTATTTTTATATGCAAGAAAAAAAAAACGAATAAAAGCTGTTCACTCATGTAACACAGTCCACTTACCGGCATAACAAATGTAAAAGCAGTTTTTCGCTGTGAAACACATCTGTTTTCTTTCTTTCATTACATTAGTTTAATTATTTTTAATCAGATAAGATGCTTCTATAGATCTTTGAATGCTCAAAACAAAATTTACCGCAAGCCAAATTTTATCAGTATGTCCAAAAACTTTTCAAATTAATTGAAATTAAAAAATGTTTCTTTTATAATATTAAAATTAAAAAAAAAAAAAAAAAGATTAGCGTTGAAATTCCGATTAGAAGTTATAAGTATATTCATCCTCCTTTAAAATGCCTTTTTTTATTTCAATACTTACATTTTAGCTTCATGTTGTAAAGGATTTAAATCGGACCGAGATTATATTATGGATTAAAATTTCAGCCAGGGTTCCTATCACGGAACAGTTCCGATCGGAATCCATTCCGACTTTGTTCCATGATAGGTATCTTCATACATCTACATAAAAAAAAATGTATGTATATGTATATATATGCAGGGTGTTTGACAAGTATATAAAAAAAATTGTCAAAAAAAAAAATATATATATATATATCAGACGTTATTCGGAATTGGTCGTAATCGTTCGAAATTAAATTATTGGTATTGTATATTGTTGAATTATAACCAACACATTGACTCTATTTGCCTGTATACCAATGTATATTATATGAACACATAGATTTTATATATTGATTATTAAATTGTGAGATTCATAAAAAACTTGATATTCTATTAATATTTAAAGTTTTTTAAATTTTAATCAGACGTTATGTTTGTCGTCATAGGCGAAAAATTTACGTCTATGAAGCTGGCACTCCACTATTAAAAAAAAATTTGCCCGTATGCTAATTATGTGCTAATTGCTCTAATCCCGAATTTTGTGCTCCTTTCTATTCGCAGGAAATTAATTTCAAAAGTAGGAATGCTGACTTTATGTTAAGCTAGTATCCCTATTTTTCCCAGCATTTCTACTTTTGAAATTAATTTCCTGCGAATAGAAAAGAGCACAAAATTTGGGATTAAAGCAATAAATTAGCACTTAATTATGGCATATGGGCAAATTTTTTTTTAATGATGGGAATGCCAGCTTTACAAACGTGAAAAATTTGATATCTTAACTTAAAATTCAATATTTAATTCCTTCATAACGTAACAAGATATTGAAATAGACAGAAATGCATTTTAAAAGGAGAGATAAATAATACATACTTACTCATAACTTCTAATGAGAATTTCAAGATAAGGTTAATCTTTTTTTACAGAAAAAATTTTAATATCTTAAAGACACTATTTTTCGTTAAATTTCAATTCTTTTGGAACTTGATGTTTCAAAAAATCTGTAAGAAACGCCTTTTCAAATTAAAAAAAAAAAAATATTTTTGTAAACTAGTATTATTATTACTGTAACTTTTACATTATTATATGATGAAATATGTTTATCTAATTGTGTTTGTTCTAATTCTGATAGTTTTCTGAATTTTTTAATTTCATGTGTTAATTATATATACATAGAAAACAGGGTAATTGCGTTTAACTGTTATAATCCATCTTCTTCCACGCACTGCTGAGAAAAAAGCAAATGTGTCTCATAGAATTAAAGTGAATTTTATTACATATTTTTATTGCATAATAATCGTTTTTCATACATTAAATCAGTTAAAAAGAGTATTGTAATTAAGTTTGTTTTGTTAGCGCAAAACCGTGGAATTGTACAACACAGTTTATTGTTATTATACGAGGCACTTGTGTGATACTTATCTTAAGAGTAATAAATACAAGAATGAAAACATAAAAGTGTCAACATATTGAATTGAGTTATAAAATATTTAGTTGGAATAAAATAATGGCTATTTATAATAAAAATAAAAACCCTCATTTTGGTCTTCATTCATTCGAATAATTAAATAAATATGGAAAAATTTTACAATCTTTCGTTAAGTATAAGACAATACATCTTTGACTATTTATAAAATTTGACTTTAATTAAAAATAATTATTTCATCGCGCTATAGAATACATGCCAATAATGTCTTTCTATTGTTTTGACAGAAAGTCATTTTAAAAGAAGCAAATGGTTTTTCCATATAATGTTTTCACGATGATTTTTCTTTTTGCGATCTTCTGATACTGGATCTTGTCGTTCTTGTACTGTGTTCTTCATTATTTACAGGTAATTGGGAAGATTTATTTCGCACAGTTTTATTCTTATTCGTTAATGGTGTGTCTGCCTTTCCTATTCTTTCTTTCGGTGTTCTGCTTTTAAAAAACTTATTTTCTTTAGGAATTTCTAGAATTTTCTGATCTTGTAATTTATCAGCCTTTTCAGGTTTTATCGAAGTAGAGGAATCGACATTTTCATTCGTCTTACCGTTTATTGTCGGGTCTTTTAGTAATTCTATCGCCTTACTTATATTCTTATTATAATCAGTGGTCATTGGTTGCTTTGTATCTTTAACGATTGTTCTCCTTATCTTTGATTTAATTTTGAGATTTTCTACATTTTCTATCAATTTATCTACATTTTCCTTTGTGGCAGGTAAATCTGATTTATCTACCAAGTTTACTAAAATGTTCGATATATCTGGAACTAAAGACGCCACTTCAGTAATAATATCATTTATAGTTTTCCTTTGCGTACTATCTTTATTCATATTTTCCGACTTTGTTTCTTTCGAATCTTCTATATTCAAATTAGCTAAATCATCCTCTATATCTTTCTCTAAAATTTTTCTTTTCACTAAATTTATACGTGACTTAGATTTTCTATTCGAATACGTAACAGGTGGTGGTGGTGGTGGTGGAGATACACTATCATCATCTTCATCATCACTCCAAATCATGTTAATTTTAGTTATCTTTAAAGCTATTGGGCTCTTTCTACGTCGAAGTGAAAGAGGTTTCTTGGCACGATGATTTTGAATGGATGGTGTAACACAAACGCTTGGATCAATTGGGATTTTTGCATGGTCAGTTGTATTAATTTCGTGTGGCTGCGGAACCGTAAACTCTGCAACAAAGATTTTATCATGTATGTATATATCTCGTACAAGTAAACAAATTTCACCCGAAATTTATTCTGACAAAGAAAGTTATATGTCAAAAAGCACATACTTAAATCTGAAGATTCCAATACCGGCTGGAATTCATTGTCAAATGCCAATTCCTTAACCGTTATATAAATGGGATGGCACTGCAATTTATATTTGTCGCATATATTGACCGCTAAATTGGCAATATTGAATACATCTTCTTGCCTTGACGTTACTTTCGCTTTCAGAAAATAACAAAAATCGATCAATAGCAGTATGTAATCGATCATGTAGAAACGAGTTTGCCAAGAGAATCGCATTATTTCATCACGAGGCCAGTTTTCGGGTAGAACTGATTCTTCTTCTTTGAATAGTCTTTGCCTTAATTGAAAAGCGCCGTGGAAATGATCGAGTGCTGCCATGGTATGATTCTGCAAGGCATATAACTGTGCTCTGATATAAGTGGTAGCAAATACCAAGTACTGATACGAAACGTTGCTACACTTGTAGCAATCGCAATTTATATGCGATGTGAATTTTGGCGGATCAAAAACTTTATTGCCGAGCACTGGAGAAGCACCATACTGAGGCGCATCTCTGACAGGATCTACAATTTTCGTGGGAGTCACTGCGAGATGAACGAACGATGTTTCTACGGATCTGGTGGAAACCTCTATCGATAATTGAAACGTTTCGACGTTCAACATGTGTTCGAGGCCTTGTAGCTTCACCTCGCAATCCTCCAATTGTAAACGCGATAGATCGATATAACACAGCGATTTTAATAGTTCGGCAGTACGTAGCATTGCACTTAAACTCTGTGCCGATTTTAACAGTAGTACTAAATCCGGGCAAATGCCACGAAAAGATAATAGATTATTTATCCTTATGGATAAATTAACTGCTACAGTGAAAAGTGTATCGTAACTAAAAAGATACGTTGATCGGTTTGTCCCTGAAAAAAAAAAAAAGATTACTTTATAAATAGTTGATTCATATTAGCATTCATAATTTTATATTTATACAATTTGACGTTTCAATGAAGCTTTATCTAGAATTACATATATAGAATAAAAATATAAATGGTTTAATTATAATTACATTTATTCGACAACAGATCTTGATTCAAAGTCCTTATTGCAGCTATACTTTCCACAATACACGAACCATAATTCTCATGTTGCATATTATCAATGTAAATATGGCTATTGCGTATGATGACATCTAAACTTAACAAATACACAGTTCTATTAGCAAGAAATGAAATTCCTGAAAGACTTCTAGCTTCGATAAGTAATTGTTTAGCATCATCATACTAAAAAATAAAAAAAAATAGAAAATGTGTATACTTGTTATATATTATCTATAGTATATAAGTTTGTATTTTTGGCAATTTATTTGAAGAAGGATCCTATATTCCTCTTACCTTTTCATATTCAAAATAGAGGTCTGCTAAACTTATCCAAAAGATAGCAATGGTGCCAATTACATTTTCGTCCGTAGAATTTCTATGCTTTATGATATGTTCCTTAGCAGTAGTAATCCAATCGTAATTGACTTGTCTCAATGATATACAACGACTTGTAACTGTAACAGGATTCATATTAGCATTCGTAAAACTTTTTTTCTCAATTATTATAAATAGCTCAACATACTATAAATAATTGTATAATCATTCATTTCTGATGCTAACTGATATGCCAAAGTCCATACTTCAGCTTCACAATCTTCATATCGATATAATCGGGCATATTCACCAGCTGTTACCAGCATGCGAAGTATAAGACTAGGTTCCCAATCTTTGACAATTTCTTTCTACAAACAGTGAAATATGATTATCTGATCGCAAAGTTTCTAATATTCATAGTTATATAACACAATAAGTATTTTCTAATAACTTACAAAATGCCATTTAAATAATTGCTTCCATTTTTGTAAACATTTTTGAAGGCACAACATAAGACTAGTATCTTTTTTAACATTTATCATAGTATAAGCAGGCACTACATTTGGAGATTTGACTTCAGTTAGTTCTCGTAACTTGGGAGCACATAAAGCAAATTTTGTATTTTCCATTTCTATTTCAGTTTGCTTATTCATTATATGCAACTCTTCGACAAACATAAAAAGGCTCAAGTTAGCTTCCAAGCACAGAATGGCAACAGAATCAGACTTATCTTGCTTCAAATCACATATAGCTTGCTCATGATATTTCAAAATAGAACTGTCATGCGGTGTGAAACCTAAGAAATAATATCCTAATAATTGCATCGTGTGTGCATATTGATTGCTTGGCTGCAGCTTTCTAAGTTTTTTTAGAACTGCTGCTACACCATTTGTAAATATAATCTGTTCTTCCAGTAAATTTCTTGCTTCGCTTAAACATAATTCAGTAGAGTCATTCTTGGAAATATCAAATGAATATCCCAGTTTATTTTTAATCTCGTCTTTATCATTTGTCAAGCACTCTAACATAGTTAAGTTTGCAATGTCTTCAGAAACATTTTTCTTAATACTTATCCATGTACGAAAAGCTATTGTATTCGACTGATTGCAAGTTAACAAAGCATTCAATGCACACACTGTCATGGCTTTCCTATACATATTGTTATTGTAATACATAACACTTAATCTATGCAATACCGAAGAAATAATATTTTCATAGTTTTCGGAATTTTCAAAATATGTGGACTTTGATTCAATTAATTCGAGTTGAAAAATGCAAGTGCATAAAAAGGAGTACAGATGTACACTTTCTTCGTACACATGTTCAGACAGTACACCTATATTATAGATTATATTACGACAAATATTCCATGATTGCGTCCAACGTTTACATCCGGTTTCCTTCATTTCATAAATAATGGATTCGACGTTTTGCTCCAAGATTTTTCTGCTAAGAACACACATCTCGACTGGCAAAGTTTTAACAGGAAATTTACATAATAAACTAATGAATCTACATCTCATCACTATAGCATTGTATAAATCCCTCTTAACTGTGCACAATTTGTTCTGGCACCATTTGCATTTGATTGACGCTTGCTTGACATAAAATTCATCTGTATGTATCTGTACAAACAAATTCATTAGTTCTAGCAAGATGCCAGTATCGAGCAAGTGGTTGAGCATATGTTTATCAGTTTCCACACACTTTTCCCAGTATGTGACCATTGGTTCAACTATTTCTGCAGTATGAAGTACATTCCACTTAATACTTCCACATCCATATTTTTGCATAATATTTAAGTTAGAACAAATAATATTTTGTACATTTTTGGCACTGTCCCTGGTAAGATTTTTTATTGGCACTAAAAGATTCTTACACAAGCTTTGAAATTGCTGAAAAGATTGATAGCATTCCTCATCTTCTGCCACAAGAGTATCAAAATAACTAGATAATTCATCTAACGTTTCTATTGCAGATTCAATATCAGTTGTATTAATAGTCTTACATATTACATGACACATGATACGAAGTAAATAACGATATATTAAGTGTTTTTCATCTTTGTCTAAATACAACTCCAGTCCTAACAAGTAGTCCAATATATATTTACAAAAGTCATCAAAATATTTCGTGTTCTTACCGATTGCTGCTATTCTGTCCAAGTACATACTTATCTCCATAATCAAATGTCTAGTATAATTTTTATACGCTATCTGCATCATCTTCATTTCATACTTGATAACACTCTTCAACTTATTATAATTCTCTATGTTCGAGGGTTCATTTGTAAAAGTAACATATAAATTGTTAACTAGAACGCGCCATAAGGATAATACTTTCATCACAATATTCATAGTGTTATCTCGGGGATTGTACAAAGTGCCTGGTTGCAAGTAGCAACAGATCTCTGCCGCATCCTCATATAAATTAAAAGAAATTAAACACTTAACAATTTTAAATACAGCTTTGACAAAGTTGGTGTCATCAGACACCTTGATCAGCAACGAGCAAAGTAATTTGGCTAATTTAGCAATGCTCTTGCCAGTCTCGCAGTTCCGTTCATTACATTTATTCCATTTATCTGCAATGCAACACAAGCGTAGCAGTAATTTGAATAAGCCATCGTTGAGTTTACCATTAGGTCGGACGCGGACAGTCATCTGAAAGATATTAACAGTTAAAATTGTATTCATAAATGTAAAGCTAGAATTTTTAATGAGAAAGAGTATACCTGAATATCCTCCGATACATCTTGCAGTTTCTCCAATTGCATCAATTCCGTCCACGTCTCAATTTTTATCTGCATCTCATCCATCTTTCGGTAAAGTAAAATCAGTTTCACTTTTAAGTCTTATGTATTAGTCACACACAGCTTTCGTGATGTATATACATATAGTGTTCAGTGACACGGTGTACGAAAAGCGCTGCAATTCCCACAATTCCCGACAATCCCGACTCCGATCGATTACTCTTGCGTTATTATCCCGCAACGACGAAAGACCGTTTTGCCTAGGCGTAATTTTAAAATTGTAACGTGTGGTGACGTGCGCCAATGTAAACACAGCATCTTTCTCGCGTGTTCTCGCGCGCGTTTTTTGTATGTGTTTACCATAGACATAATAGATCGAGCATGCGGCGGGAGCATGGCAGTCACGTGCGAGAAGGAGGGAACACAATGGCCTGGTTTACATCGTGCACTTGATACGCGTACTAACTACTTTCTATTAAATTGTCTTAATTTCAGCAATGTATTCAAAGAATGATGTATAAAATTGATACAATACGCATCAAAATGTTTAACTAAATAAGTTTATTGTGTATACATTTACATATATCGCTGAAATTAAGATAATTTAATAGAAAGTAACCAGTTAGTTCGCGTATCAAGTGCACGATGTAAACCAGGCCATTGTGTATACATTTATATATATCGCTGAAATTAAAATAATTTAATAGAAAGTAACCAGTTAAGGTTGGATTATACTGGCCGTAATCTGTTAACTTATGCTGTAATCTGTAAAAATTGACCAATTATAATCGATTATTCCCCTCTCATTCGACTGTGATTGGTCAATTTTTACAGATTACGGCATAAGTTAACAGTTTACGGCCAGTATAAATCAACCTTTAAAGTAAAAGCGGAACGGTTTTAGCGGTAGCGGCGGAAATCTAGCGACCAATCAGAGTTTTTCCGCATTTTTCGTATCGCTGTTTTCTAATCCCTATGGGTAATGTCCCATGGAGCGGTCGTGCGTAAGCGGATTAGCGGATCGCCAATTTCAATGTGACATAAGGAAAATATTTTTGCAGAAATGTGCAAGCGGTAATGTATTTGTTATTATCTTCTCAAGGAGAAAAGGACAGTGGTAGTTCGAATCCTATTAGGTTTAAAAGTTTTTTCCTAGGTATTATTAGCATAGAGATAGTAGTACTAGAGTACGCATTGTAGGAGTGGGGGTAATCCTTTCTAGAAAAGGACGCACTCATTTGGGCCTTTTCGTTCTCTCTCGTTCCGCGCATGCATATAGCTATATATTCTGAGAGACGGGATCGAAAGAAAGAACGAGTCGAACGAGAAAAGTTTCATCATTACATGACCGGACAAGCCTGATTAAGCCTGATCACTTTGGAATCAAACAAAGAATTGAATTTGATAAGGTTAAGGGCTCTCGAGGAATAATATCAATAAATATTAATGATAAAAATCTATTATTTATACCTCTATAATTGCGAGACGGTTTAAAACGATACAGGGTAAGTAATAATTTCGAAGTAACATGCTGTATTCTGCAAGGGCAAATACTCTCTAAATATAAATTTACATAGTTAATCGCGAGATCTGCATCGTATCTATGCTGTTTCATTTTTGACTGGCAGCGAGTATTGTTTGATTTTTCATAAATATTGTAGTACGGAAAGAGAATAAGGAAAATCTGATAAATATGTATAGCATTGAAGTTATGTTAAATATCCATGCGCTAAACTCGCTGTTTCTTATAACGGGATATATTATAATGCAAAATTTCTTATCTTTATTCTCTCTCTCTTTCTCTCTCTCTCTCTCTCTCTCTCTCTCTCTCTCTCTCTCTCTCTGTCTCTCTCTCTCTCAGAATTGTTTCATTCTGTAATTTTACCAAAATAAGATTTCGCAGTAACTTTTCGATAATATTTCAATTATATATCTCAAAAAGGCTACAGACATATGTCAGTTAACCATTCGGAAATTTTTTTAAAAGGTTTCATTTGAAAGAATCGCGGACATTTTGATATTGCAGAGACATCTCAAAGATGTTGCAGAAACATTTTGCAATGTTTCTGAAATATTTCAATTTCACACGTGAAACATTTCTGAAATATCTCTGAAAGATTGTTGTGCTGTATGGAGCGGAACAAGAGGAACGGGTGAAATGGACTTTTACGACCAATTACAATGCAAGTGTACAAGAAAAATAACTAAATTCAAAATATAAATATGAATAAATAAATAAATATACAGAGAGGGGCATTTAAAACAAGTCACCTGAATAACTCGTTTGTTTTTGACAATAGAAGAAAAAGTGTCAAACAAAAGTTGCTTGGTTTCGAGGGGCATATAATGTGATGTCAATAATTGTTTTTTTGGTGGAGGCGCTAAAAAGATATGAAGGTCACCTTCACTTTTTTAAATGGAATTATGTAATTTTTTTAGATAACGTGATTCGTCTAATTATTTTGCGTATTGTGTTATTTGCATATAGTGTTTTCTTTACACCATTTTATTTATCTCATTATTCTGTTCACAAAAATATTAAGGTATGATAATCAAAAAGTCAACAATTTACGAGTTATTTAACATTTTGTGTCAATATGTATCAAAATAAAGTGTAAAATATCTCGAAAACTATTGGTTTTTTGGTATCTCTACCTTAATACTTTTATATGCAAAATAATTAGAGGAATCTCTTATCTAAAAAAAATTACATAATTCCATTTAAAAAAGTGGAGGTCACCTTCATATCTTTTTAGCGCCTGCACCAAAAAAACAATTATTGACATCACATTATGTGCTCCTCGAAACCAAGCAACTTTTGTTTGACACTTTTTCTTCTATTGTCAAAAATAAGCGAGTTATTCAGGTGACCTGTTTTAAATGCCCCTCTCTGTATATCTATATTTTTCTATTATAATTTGTTAAACAAATAAAATAATAATAATAAAAAATATGTAAATAACAAGGCTCAATAAATTTAAAAAATAATTAATACAAAACAGGGCTACGAGCCAACATTAGTTAAAATATAAAGGTCTTAGCAATAAACTGTCATTAATTAAAAATAAATAAATATAAAGTTTAATAAAATATAAAAACATACGTTTCGACCTTCATTAGGTCATTTTCAATGTTAAAA